GGTTTTGGGGTCCCCCCGGACTGGAGTCGCCCCCGGCGCCCGTCGGGTCCGCTGCCGGAGGCGCCCCCTTGGCCGGCAGTGCCAGGCCCCGTCCGGGCCTTCCCGGACGCTCCGCGGCTTTCTGGGCCTCCGGACTGGCCTGTGCCGTTTACTTTATTCATTACATTGATTCAATTTATCCTATTTATTACATTGATTCAATTTACCCGTTACGTTTGTTCCATTTATCAATTTTATTCCATTTATCAAATTTATCTTTTCAATTTATTTGCAGCCCGTTAACTGTCAAAAGGAGCCTTTGGGACCCTCGGGGCAAAAGAGAGGACTGGGTTGTTTTATTTATTTATTTATGAGGGTTCCTTTGTCCTGGGTTCTGCCCCCCCCAGGACAAAGCCTGCCTCTGTTTGATATTTGCAAACCGCCCCCTCCCCCCCGCAAGACAAAACGGGGCGGGGGTCTTCCCTGACCAGGCAAGAGGAGGAGAGGGTCTCTCTTATGCCCCCCCTTCCCCAGCTTTGTGTGTGTGTGGGGGGGTGAATCTTGCAGACTTCGCTTTTGGGCATATTTTGAGCAGGCCAAGTCTTGGAGAGGAAAGCTGGGGCAGAGGCTCCCCGAAGGGGGCTTTTTTGGCATAAAAATGCAGATTCTTTTGCTTTTTGGGGGGTGGGGGGGTGGGGTGGGGAGGAATCTCCTGGCGAGTTGCTTCCGCCCACGTAGCTTTTAGGCTGTGCTTATACCAGGGGAAAGCTGGCTGGGGCATTCTGGGAGTTGAAGTCCACACACACACGCCCATCCACACAGACAACACGTGTTGCTGCCTGGTGGCTTGTTACCCTCTGATTTCCCTCCTTGCCTTGTGGTTTCTGCTCTGGCCCTTCCTACTTTTCCCATCTTGTTTTGGGCCCACGTTTCCAAGGACACCAATACAAGGCCTTCCAGACTTGTGGGTGACTAAATTTCATTTTTGATGTCTTGTGCCCACAGTAAAAAAAAAAAATGACAATAAAGGTTATCTTATCCATCCTTGGAGGTTTTCAAGAAAAGATTGGACATTTGTCCAGGATGTCCAGTTATAAAGACTCCTACCTTGGCTTGGAGGTTAGACTAGAAGACCTCCGAGATCCCTTTCAACCCTATAATTCTACGAAGGTACCTTTTTCAGGCTCAATAAGTGCACTAGGATTCTTCCTATCCGAGCGCTCAGCCCAGCATTTGTCTTCCTAACACAGTTTGCTCCTGGGCTCTTTTTCTGGAGGGGGGGGGAGTAGGCTGAGTAGAAAATGCAGGTGATTTTGAGGAAAATAACTGAGCAATCCATAGCAGTCTGTGGCTGCCAAGTGCTAGGTGAAGTTTGTAGTTAATAACGGAGAATAACAGTCTGAAGGAACCTTGGAGGTCTTCTAGTCCAACCAGGAGACCCTATGTCATTTCAAACGGTCTGAAGGAACCTTGGAGGTCTTCTAGTCCAACCAGGAGACCCTATATCATTTCAGACAAACAGTTGTCCAGTCTCTTCTTCATCTGTCTCTTCTGATAGAAGGTGCAGAGACTAGCCATATAATTCTACCTGCCTCTTCTGCTTGGGGAATTAAAAATAGGAGCGGAGGCTCATCTATTGTGTTTGTGCCTGGCCTGACCGAGGGTCTTGAGTTCTACAGGTAGGTCTTGTTCTGATTCTGTAGCTAACAGCACACGAGTAACTGTGAGCCAGAACATACTTGGAGGTATGGCAATAGGATGCAGCAATCTGTGTGCTGTAGTTCCTTCACTCTCCCACTGCAAAGCTCGGTTAAGGTGTCGGAAGCAACACAATCATTAGTAGAATTTACGGAACTCTTTTTGTTCATGGAGTTTCTGTAGAGCCAGCTAAGAACCAAATTCTCATTTGTTGTTTAAAGACTTGTGTAAAGAAGACGACTGATATCTTTGGCTCTGTATCAACCACACATCATTAAACATTTTGATTCATAACCAACGGTGTTGCTTGTTTTCTTCCCCTGTCCTATGGTTTTTAGCTGAGCTGCTTATGACATGCATCAAAATTGCAGTGTGTTCTTGCACAAGTGAATGTTCCTGTACTTGTCTCTTATTTTTGAGATTTTTTTTTCTTTGCAGAGCTGTATTGAAATCCAACAAACTCTTTACTGAACACAAGCACCTTGTGGCTGCTTGTTGCAGAAAGAAAGGATGGGGGGGGGGAAGAGAGGCAGGGCAAATTTGGTTTGCCTTGTAAGATCAGGGGTGTCAAACTCGCAACATCACCTGATGTATCGTGACGTATCGTGACTTTTTCTCCATTGCCGCCAATGGGATGGGTGCAGTTTCGGCAGACACATCCGGCCCGTGGGCCAGCAGTTTGACACCCCTGATGTAGATCCTGATGTGATTTGAATGAGGGTTTGTTGCTTTAAAAAAAAACAAAACCGGGCAGCTTGATAGTTAGAGTTAAATTCTACCAGCAACTGAATTGCATCTAGAGTGGATTACTCTAAATCAGGGGCCTTCAAACTTGGCCTTTGATGACTTGTGGACTTCAACTCCCAGAATTCCTCAGCCAGCGTGCCTGGCTGAGGAATTCTGGGAGTTGAAGTCGACAAGTCATCAAAGGGCCAGGTTTGAAGACCCCTGCTCTAAATACTGCCTGTGCTGTTTTTTTGGGGGGGGGGGGATGATGGAATATGGATTGAAAGGGAAGAAGAGGATTCGGAACTCGGAAGCCTAAATGTCCTCCTGTCAACCCCTTAGAACAGACATGTCAAACTTGCGATGTCACGTGATGTCGCACGACAAACCGGAGCTTTTTCTCCGTTGCCGGCAATGGGGTGGGTGCAGTTTCCTGGTGATGCGTCTGGCCCGTGGGCCGGCAGTCTGACACCCCTGCCTTAGAAGGAGTTGGGGTCTTGGCACTAGGTGTGTAGTCTTGGAAAAAGGCACATTTGATTCAAAGATGAATAGCCCAAGTCCTTTTAAATTTTTGTTCTGCTCCATATCCTTGTTGCATTCTTAAGACAGCATGGAAGTCTGAAAACAGAGCTGCCAGGATACCTCTGGGGCAAAATACCAGGTTGTATTGCAATCATTGTATCGGTGTCAAGCACCGAAGCTGACATTTAAGGCTCTGGATGTTTTGCAGTAGTTAGGTTATTTAAAGCATCTGAATGCATCTCTGTAAATCCATGCTTTGAGTGCTGAGCATTTAGACCAGAGGTGGGGTTGGGATTAGCCCATACTTTTGGAACTGCCCCCCAAGTCAGGATGAAGAATTTCTTCTTACCAGCTTTTTTTTTTTAATGTTATGATTTTGTGATCCTGTTTTTTTCAAGTTGTAGCCCAGTTGCTAACTTCGTTTCACACAGTGAGTGTTCAGTTTATAATCTGCTTGACAAGTGCAGTAAACACCTTGACTCTCTGGACCTCAGATGAAGTAGAGAAAATTTACTTTGAACTTTGTCCCTAAACCATGGGCAAAAATCTGTTGTTTCCAAAGCCGTCCAGATCTGAATGCATGTAATTAATGTAATCGGTGCTCTATATCAGTGTCCACAGCTTGCATAAATTAGGTCACTGTGGACACTGATATAGAGCACCGATTACATTAATTACATGCATTCAGATTTCATGGGCACCTCTTTCCCCTGGTCTGTTAAATTGAGAGCAGGCTGCGATTACATTATATCGTAATAGTTATATAAATGAAAAGACTGAACCGAGTAGATAGTCTTCTAAAGAGCTGAGATCTGCTTAGTTGGGGCTTTCTGGACAGAGTAGGAATCACTGTTGCCTGCCTCTATCTTGGCCATTTCAGGTTCACAAGAACCAGGGTTACTCATGAATCGTCGCTGACATGGGTTGCCCACCAGCATAACTCTGGCTGAGCTGGTGTCTTCTGTTTGGCTGCTGCCATCTGCTTTTTTTTTTTTTTTTAGCATTATCTCAGAATGGAGGGACACCCACCCCACCCCCCAGTCATGGAAAAAGGCCATGGTGGTGGTTGCTGAATAGAAGGCAAATAAATGAGAATATACTGTTCCTTGCTGTGTCCACTTTCAAAATATTGCAGTATTTTCCTAGTTCAATAGAAAACACAGTAATTCTTGTGAAATATTTTCTTTTTTAGAATGCCTGCCAGGTAATTAATAACATTATTGAACAATAGTTCTGTGCTTAGTGCTGCTTGAATATTGCTACTACCACGCCGGAGGTACAGTTGATGCTATGTGTATTAGAGCATATGAACTGAATTCTGTATGTATATTTTCCAGGAAATGCAGAGGATTGAAGGTTCAGTTATATGCACCCTTTTGTATTACGATTTTTTTTGCTAATGACACTGTAAATAAAATGTTCTTTACATTCAGAGAGAATATAATAAAATCACCAAAGTTGCAACATTTGAAACATCTTCAGTTGAGTTGAATATGAAGTTTTTTTAGGCTGTGTACATCGTATTAGCTGGTTTATTTATTATACGTCGCCCATCTTATCACCCAAAGTGGGTGGCTATAATGTGATTAGTTTGGTCTTGGCTTAGCTAGTCATGTGAATTCCACCCCTGTGCTTTATTCCACAAATGTCTCTTATGATGTGTGAACCCAGATTTAGACTTTTAAGTACGTAGTGCAGAAGTAAAACGAACCAATCAAGAATTGCTAAAAGCAAACCACTTTGCCAAATGAGTAGTTATTTGATTAAAGGAGACAGTTTCCCAACAATAATGCTTAAAAGCAGTAAAAACCACTTTAAAAAATAGATTAAAAAAAAATAAATGTAATTAACTTTTGTGTGTTTTAACTTTCAGCTTTATGGTGTTCTTGGAAAATGTTGCACCTCTTGTGAATTCTCTGAACCTTGGCATTGTCAGCCCCTTTCTGTTGGGCCTCCCTCCTTTACAGTTTGCTCAGATTAAGACCCAGTTGGCTCTGCATCAGTTCAACCCGGTGGCTCCCAACTATTCTATAGCCGCCTCTGCGTTGTTAAATGAGGCGTTCCTGAAACTAGCCATGTTTAACCCTAGAGGAAGCAGGCCGCCAAGGCCGAGGGGACCTAACATGCCTGATCCAATCCCGCATGGGCCTTTTCATGGGCCGGGACCTGGACCAGGTGGTCTTCAGAGGCAGCTCCCACCTAATTCTGATGGAATGCCCCAAAGGTTCATGGGATCAGAAATGAGGGCAGGATTTCCAAGGCCGAACATTCAGGTGCCTCCACTCAGAATGGACCCAAGACAAACGGCCAAGAGAATGAATATGGAGCAGCAGCAGCAGCACCACCACCACCAGCAGCAGCAGCACCAACAGCAGCAGCAGCACCAACAGCAGCAGCAGCACCAACAGCAGCAGCAGAAGATGGAAGGATGCGGTTCTCATTGGGACAATCCGTTTCCTCCTGGAAATAACAGCCAGAGTCAGCCCATCCCAGGAAGGATGGCAGACTATCCCCCACCCGTTCAAAGCCGGTATACCAATGAGAGCGCCTCAAGTATCCTGGCGAGCTTTGGATTGTCAAACGAGGACCTGGAAGAACTTAGCCGCTATCCAGATGACCAGTTGACCCCTGAAAACATGCCTATAATTTTAAGGGACATCCGTATGAGAAAAATGACCCATCCGCTGCCAGACTTGCCCCCTCAGAGCAGTGAAAAGGAGAACTTCCGCAGCGACGACGGCCACGGCCCCATGATCAAGGGCAAAGTAATCGATTATGGGCACGAAAGCAAATACGGATACGACGAGGGCCCCCTCGACGTGAAGGTCTACGGTTCTGATGGGCCCCCTAAAGACAGCCTGAAAGGATTTCAGAGCCAGCCGACGCCGCCGGCCGGCATAACCAGCAAACAGATGAACGCAGTTGAAGAATTAATCCGGCAGATGGGATTCCAGAGAAGCACGCCCAACACCCCGTCTTTTTTCTCCATGGACACCTCTAACAAGATGTCCGGGTTGTGTCTCCCTTCAACAGGAACCGGGGTAGCTCCAGCAGGCCCACCCATCATGCCGCCTGTGGCACCGCCCCCCCTACCTCAGCCTGGGATCCCACCTGTTCGGCAGGCTTTGCCTCCCCCACCCGTAGCTCGGCCCATGATGCCGAATATGAACCAGCCGCCGCCACCGTTTGTACCTGAAATGATGGGCGGCATGAACAGGCGTGACCGGATTCACGAGGAGCCCAGACCGCGGCCGAGTGCTCCCCCAGGACCGGCTCCTCCTCCTCCTCCTCCCGCTGACAAATCTTTCCGGAAAGAGATGGAAGGGCCTATGAAGTCTCCCTTTGGGGTGGTGAAGGCCTCCTGGCTCCCCGTTTTTCCCAAGATGGACGCCCAGAAAATGAAGAGGCTGCCAACGCCGTCAATGATGAATGATTATTACGCTGCATCTCCGAGAATATTTCCACATATGTGTTCTCTGTGTAATGTAGAATGTAGACATTTGAAGGTGAGTCAAATCCTCCCCGTCAGATTACGTAATTTATACAGAACGTTATCTCTGTGTTGGAGGCCAGTTAAAGTTGTGGATATTTATACCCAGTATGCATTTTATTTCTTTTAAAATGTCCGGAAGTTTAGAACGAGGTATCTGAATCAAATGTCTTTTCTATTACTGTCCGTTCTTAATGAAGAGCGACAGTAATAGTTAAGATATTTAACTAGCTTTGTCCAAACAGTTGGATTGCATGCTTTTTTTTCTGTCTTATTCAACACACCACTTGACCCTTTTAAGCCATACAAGGTTTAAATGCAAAATAGGCTAATGCCTAGACTTCTACTTAAACAGCATAAACTTGGAGGTGTTGATTGGCAAGGATGTCAGCTGAAATCCAGCACATTTTAGAGTGTCTGGAGTTTGGAGAATGATGACTTAGAGCTGACTCGTTTTAGGAATTTGAAGGTTTACTGCACCAGATTAAAACCCAGAGCACCTTGGTCACACCTGGAATCTGTTCAAATTTGGTGGGTCTTGATCTGACTATTCTCTGATTTCAGTAATATTGCATATGCCTCTGAAATGTTCTGGACCAATCTCAAGAGTCTTTAGTACAGCAATGAGACACTCACTGATCACAATCTGTACATAAATATTATTTCCTATGTTTGTTTGCTTACTGTGTTTGTTCTCCGTTAAGCAAATTATTTCAACAATCCCTGTATGAAAATCTGCGGTAGGTGCACATATCAAACACTTTGTAGAGTTCTGGACATCACACACCATTGAAAAAGAATAAAATAGCTGGAGGCTATGTGGAAGAAGGCAACCCAAATGACTTGGGGGCTTCCAAGGGCAGGTTGAGACACATGGACCTCTGTAGCTTAGGAAAATGGCAGCTGAGGGTTAAGGTTTTTAACATTTAACCACAAATCCTAACACATAACAGTAAAATTTCATTCCACAAGGCCTTGTCTGGTATCCCCATCCAACATAGCTACATTTTTTCTTTCTTAAAGCACAATTAAGGCTCAGTATTTTTCATTGCTTGACAGTTCAAGAGGTGGATAAAACAGGAACTAAAGAACATCACTGCAGATATTTTGAGAATGTATTTTTGGCACGTGACCGTAACAAAATAGAACGTAATATTGCCATTTGTTAGACAATAGGACAAGCTTAATTCTAGTTTTTCCTTCAGCATTTGTATTTTCAGCCTCTTAACAGTTCTTAAAATAGATTTGATAGACATAGTCACTAGTATTTATCTTGTTTTTAATTTGTACATACATACAGGCATATAAAGCTGAGTGTATCGGCAGCCTAGGATGGTCATTTACATCAGTCAGAGTGCCAAATGCACTACAAAATGTTGAACGTTATCGGATATTCAATCCTAAACTGAAGGTTTGAAGTACGACGTATTTTATGGTGTTGTCCTGGGCTCAGATAATCTGGAGTGGATTGACTGGGCTCAGTGGCTTATTAATGTGCTCCCTTTGTCAGTGAGGTCCAGGGTTAGCGCTCAGTCCTTCCACAAGTAACGGATTTTACCAGACAGACCCATTGCTAATCCAAAAGTACAAAGCTTTCAAAATCTTTGGGAATAAACCAGATGCAAATACAATGTAAGTTTCCCGGGAGCTCACGGCGTTGGGCTAGGTCAGCTGTGTGCGAAAGTGGCTTGTTATTGTGGTTGGCCTTAAACACAGCTAATAGATCCCAAGTTCCTTCCTCCATGTTTTTATTTGGTCCCCGTGCGAAGCAAAAGGGCCATATAAATGACTGGTTTTATTTTGACTCTCCCACATTCGGGCATAAGCTGCTGCTTATCTTAAGAGGGCATATGTCTCATTTGTTCCAAAGAGGTGGCCTGCAAAGCATGACTTGAGCTTTTTTTTTTTTTTTTTTAAAGAAATGATGCTTATTATAATAAATGCCATGTTGGTAGGAGACTCCACTTGAAATGGGATCCAGTCTTGTGAGATCCCAGAAAGGGAAATGTCCTAGGTCTGGGGAAGTCAGGAAAGGAGGAGCTTTTTGACACAAACCTTGGTGATGGGATGAATTGATAATAATTGATAATAGTCACGATGGGATATGGAAGCTAGTGTTTCCTGGGGCTTCACAGAAATCAGTGGTCAAGGTAGGGTGCTCCTAATAGCCCCAAAGACACACATCCTCAATTTGTTCAAAATGCCCCATTTCCTCCACTTTCCCACTCATTCCTGTACCAAATACCTCCCTTCGACCAGTCCGCTCCCACAGAGAGGGCCTCCTTAGGGTACCGTCGGCCAGCCAATGCCGGCTGGCGACCCCCAGGGGGGAGCCTTCTCTGTGGCAGCTCCTGCCCTCTGGAATGACCTACACCCCCCCGACCTACGTACAACTACGGACCTGCACCTCTTCCGCCAAGCCTTGAAAACCCATCTATTCCATGCGGCCGGCCTGGCGTAGTTTTGATTGGGCTTTGCTGGGGGTTTTATATGGGGTATTTTAGAGCAGGCTTTTTATTCAATATTTATTGTGATTTTTATTATTGCCTGTTCACCGCCCTGAGTCCCGTAAGGGAGATAGGGCAGTATATAAATTTAAATAATAAATAATAAATAAATGAAGCCCCAACCAGAATGCATGCTGAAGACAGCAGTGCCTATTCTCCCTCCCCCTCCCTCTCTCTCTCTCTCCCCCTCCCTCTCTCCCTCCCCCTCTCTCTCTCTGGCAATTGCAGCATTTCTATTAATACATTGATTTCTTTCGAGCCTGCATAAAATTGCAGGTTAAGTATTTGGCAAGCCACAAGGGCTCTTTCCTGTACAGCAGAGGGCTCAGCTGTGATGTGCTTGGCAGGCTGAATTCCGCAGGGAATAGCACAGGCTGAAAGAATGGGTTTTTTCAAGAATGGGTGTCCTAGTCTGTCTTCCCACCTTGACAGAAGAAATGAGAGAGTTCCTGAATTTTGGAGAAACTGAGCATGAGTCACAGGGTGGCTTTGAAGATAATTGGTGGAGGGAGGTGAACAGATCTATCCATTTTATCTTCTTGGAACAGGTGGTTTGTATGTGTGTGTAACGCTTAAAATGAGCGATTATCCTAGTTCCTAGTTTAATCTTGACTCCGGCTGCTTGTTCTCTATAGGATTGGCTTCTGCATCAGAATTCTTCCGCACACCTTGAAAGCTGCCGCCAGCTACGCCAACAGTAAGAGTTTTTATTTGATTTCTCTTAAATTCTGGAGGCCACGGGTCCCTGTCTTTTTTAATACAAACACCTCAGTTAACAGTTGAATTAAGCAAACCGTAGCTCATAGAGAGAAACTTTTACATCATTGCTCCTGCTGTATTTTTGAATGAAATCCTTTGGAACGTTTGCAGCATGATCCCTCTGAAAGGGATTGCTCCATTCTTTGGGCAGTTGTTTCGTGTGATTAATGGGACATTAAGAGACCAAGCAAGGAAGAGGATTGTCCATAGTCCCTCTGGGATAATTCGTGGTCATAGGAAGATGGGAGAAATCAAGAGTGGGATCCTTTCCACATAAGTGTAGCCAATATATGTAAACCAGCCAGTGGTTCACGGACAGGCCAGTTGCTTATGTCAGTAGGAAACTATTGTGAAGTTAAATGGTGTAGGGTTTCCTGCCTGCGCAGGGGGTTGGACTAGAAGACCTCCAAGGTCCCTTCCAACTCTTGTTATTCAGACCTTGCAAAATGTGGATCTGTGGGTTTTGCCAAAACACTGACCTGTAGCTGTAGGACCAGTAGGAAAGAATGAGAGTTGAAATTCTCAGCCTAACATTGAAAAGTTGTGTAGGATCTGGGCAAATTATTTGGAACAGCAGTTCCAGCTTTTTAAAGCTCAGCAGGCATGCAGTGAGAACGCTGTAGGAAACACAGCTAGGCAGACAGTGAAAATGGGGACGGTACATGAGGGGCCAATTTGGCAATCCATTTTAAGGGGAAAATATATATATGTATATATAAAAGCTTGTTTCTCGCATTAATAGTTCTATTTTTGAAATAGATACCCTGACTGGAATCCAGAATCCCATTCATCATCAAAAAGGTAGCTTCAATTACGTTTTCTTGGGATGTGATGGTTCTCCTTTATTGCTTATTCCCAAAGACGTTTTACTGAATTAACGGCATATTAATGAAAAGAACTACACAAAAATAATAAATCATAGTGGTTGCATGGCAGTTGTTACTGGAAAAGGTTGCAAAATTTAATTATCAAACAACACTAAAATATCGGTTTTAATTTGGTTTTATTCGGTGGGGTGTGTGGGTCTGTTTTTTGTTTTTTAATAATGTTGTGAGCCGCCCTGAGTCCTTCGGGAGAAGGGCGGGATATAAATTGAAATAATAAAATAAATAAATAAAAATAAAAGCGCCCCTCCTTTCCCACTGGCGCTGTCGGGTCCTCTTTCCTGCCCCGGTTAGGACCTCTCCAGGCAGCCTCTGCGGGCCAGACAGGGACCTCCTTTTGCAAAAGAAAGAGCTGGCTAGGAACTGGCTTTCCTGAGGGCCCAACTGAGGCCTTTTCCCACCAGACCTACCTTGAAAAAGGGAAGTCCTGGTTAGCAGGATCAAGACCAGTTGGCTGGGGGGCGAGAGAGGTCTTGGCGGCACCGGCACAAAAGAAGGCAGCATGAAGCAGGCCCGCCAGGTGGTACAGTTGTGGCCTGCAGGACAGCGGGCTATGTGGGGGGTGATGCTGGTGGCAGTGGGTAGGTGGGTGACTAAAAGGTGGCTGTAAATGCAGTTGGGGGGGGGGCTGAACTTTGTTCATAACCAACATGGGCTCTGCAACAGCCAGAACGTTGAGCTGTTGGTCATAAGCCCCTTGATTAGGGAACTGGAGACTAAAACATACGAAGAAGGGTTTCAAAAACCGGGTTTGTCTTGTCTAATGTAAAGAATGACCAGGGGTGACATGATAGCAGTGTTCCAATATTTGAGGGGCTGCCCCAAAGAAGAGGGGGGGGGGTCCACCTCTTCTCCAAAGCAGCTGAAGGCAGGACAAGAAATAGCAGATGGAAACTAACCAAAGAGAGAAACAACCTAGAACAGACATGTCAAACACAAGGCCCAGGGGCCGGATGCGGCCCGCGAAGCCATCCTGGAAACAGTGAGGGAACGGCCCCCGCTGCCTTGGCCCTGGCCCAGGTCGGCCGGAGGGAGCCAGTGTACAATTTTGTGGTGGCCATCTATGCTGAAACACATTCAGTCTTAGCTCCACAAGGCCGTCTGGAAACAGTGAGGAACCAGCCCCTGCCACGTCGCCCCCGCCCCCTGGGTGCATGCTGGGGAGGGGTCACCCTTTGTGAGGAATGAAGAAATGGACCATGCTTTGGCGCTTGCCCCGGTCCCACCCCCTTCTGCCAGAGACCCTCAGATCTGTCCCACTCCTGCCCAGGCCCCCACAGGCACCCTTGACGCGAATGATGTAGAGCTGGCCATGCCCACCCAGTAGGCCACACCCACTCCATTCACACCCACCCAGTAGGCCACACCTACCCTGGCCACACACCCCCAGGGCAACCGCAATGCTGATGTGGCCCTCAATGAAATTGAGTTTGACACCCCTGACCTAGAACTAAGGAGAAACTTCCCGTCAGTGAGGACAATTAACCACTGGAACACCTTGCCACCAGAAGCTGTGGGTGCTTCAACGCTGGAGGCTTTTAAGAAGAGTCTGGAATGGGAATAGGATGTCCTGCCTGAGCAGGGGGCTGGACTAGAAGACCTCCAAGGTCCCTCTGTTTTGTTACTCAGCACCATCATAATTTCAAGGGGTCGTTGAACAAATAAGCGTTAAGTGAGGACTCGCTGCATGAGGGCCATTTCACATGACACCAAAGCCACCAGGTAATGCATACCATTCTTTGTCCCTAGACAAGAAGGCGACAGAAATGAAAACAGCGGGGTCAGGCGGCGTTCTGCCAGCATTAGCCCCAGGCGCTCGAGACGCTCCAGTTCTGGGCACGCCAGACGTCGAACGCGGTCCCGATCCAGGAGTCCCAGGCACAGGCCAGGCAGGCCAAGGAGTCGAAGTCCACGACCCCCCAATTTCAGACAAAGGTCAAGGTCTCCATGGCGGCCTTACAACCCCGCTCCGTCGTTTCAAAGGTCTACCAGCAGAGAGGGGGGGCCCAGACGCTATATTCGATCTCCAGGTAAGAGGGTTGTTGATAGAGGCTTGCCTTCCAGGCAGCCAGATGTATCCCATTTTAAACTGGACTAAAGACAGCACTCATTTGATGAAGAGAGAGAATATTTAGGTGCATTCACTGGAGTGGGAAGATGGCATTTAATTGCTCGCCGGCCTACTTACGCGATCATTTTCGTTGCAGACTTTTAGAGAATTCATTTAAAAAACAAAAACAACCCACTTTGTATACTAAAAACAGAGAAAGCGGGAGTAGGCACACAACAACTTGGGACCCCTCCAATTTTACTCCACAGTTTGGGTATGAGCCGAAACGGAGTTACTTTTGCCTGATACACCTCTTCGTTGGCTTACTGCAGTAAGCTCTATGTGGGGTCCTCGGTTGCTTTCTTGCAGACGTTTCGTGACCCAACTAGGGAGCCTCATCAGTGCATTGGTCGTCTGTAGCTTCATCATTCATCAGTGGCACTGACGACATTACCTGGTGGGGTCATGAATCGTCTGCAAGAAAACAGCTCAGCTCAGAGAGCACCAAGGACCTCACATTTCAGTGCCGAGCTACAAATACTCTCCACGATCGGTTTAAGCCAGGGGTAGGCAACCTTGGCTCTTTTATGACTGGTGGACTTCAACTCCCAGAATTCCTGAGCCAGCCATGCTGAGGGGAAAGGGAGAGGTTTCCAAGCTGAGCCATGCTGGCTCAGGAATTCTGGGAGTTGAAGTCCACGAGTCATAAAAGAGCCACGGTTGCCTATCTCTGCCCTAGCCCTAGGCCACTTTATGACTCATGGACTTCAACTCCCAGAATTCCTGAGCCAGCATGGGGGAACTATGGCCCCTTCATGACTCATGGACTTCAACTCCCAGAATTCCTGAGCCAGCATGGGGGAACTATGGCCCCTTCATGACTCATGGACTTCAACTCCCAGAATTCCTGAGCCAGCATGGNCCTCTCCCTTTCCCCTCAGCATGGCTGGCTCAGGAATTCTGGGAGTTGAAGTCCACCAGTCATAAAAGAGCCAAGGTGGCCCACCCCTGGTATAGAGTCATGAAGGGGCCATAGTTCCCCCATGCTGGCTGAGGAATTCTGGGAGTTGAAGTCCAGGAGTCATGAAGGGGCCCAGGTTGCCCACCCCTGGTGTAAGCTGTGCACGGAGCTTCTCTTGAAGATCGTCTGGGAGCTACATGGAGTTCCCAAAGCAGGGGCATGGGCACAAGCTGGCTGGGGAATTCTGGGAAGTCCACTGGTCTTGAAGTTGCCCAGGTTGGACACCTCTGGTCTAACTTAATGTGTTGGAGTGTCTGTCGCCTCTTATATCCTCCTTTCCCACACACTTTTTCCAGATTGGGCATGTTCCAGACCCTTCCCAGTGACTCCTTGTCAAGAGAGTAGGGATTTGCAAGTTCCTCCCCATCTTCGATGCAGTTTATGTTATGTTCATTCCAAAAATGTTTTTTTTCCCCTCAGTGTTTAAGATCATGGTTTATTTTCATGCTATTTCATTGTATGTGTTGGTAAAAATGTTGGAGACTTCTTGTTTTGTCTCAAAGGAGGTCTCCCAGTCTTTAAAATACACAAGGCCAAGGAATCAATTTAAAAGCCTCTTTCTTTCTTTCTTTCTTTCTTTCTTTCTTTCTTTCTTTCTTTCTTTCTTTCTTTCTTTCTCTTCCTCCCTACCTTACTTTCTGCTCTCCTTCCTTCCTTCCCTCCCCTCCCCTCCTTTTTCCTTCTTTCCTCCCCCTCCTTCATTCCTTCCTTTCCTCCTTTCTTTTTTCCTTCCTTCTCTTTCTTTCTTTCTTTCTTTCTTTCTTTCTTTCTCTCCCTCTCCCTCTCCCTCTCCCTTTCTCGCTTTCTTGCTTTCTTTCTCTCTCTCTCCCCTTCCTTCCCTCCCTCCCCTCCCTTTTTTCCTTTCATCTTTCCTTCCCCTCCTTCATTCCTTTCTTTCTTTCTTTCTTTCTTTCTTTCTTTCTTTCTTTCTTTCTTTCTTTCTTTCTTTCTTTCTTTCTTTCTTTCTTTCTTTCTTCCCTTCCTTCCTTCCTTCCTTCCTTCCTTCCTTCCTTCCCCAGATAAGGCCTTGGAAGCGGTGATGAAATGCTTGGGACCTCGCATCGTTGAACATATCCACAAACAAGCCTTCGGCCAGGGCTTTTCGGGAGGGAAAAAAACATCGCCTGACTTTGAGGAGGGGAAGACAGGAAATCCCGCCGTTCCCGCAAAACCGCACAAGAAAGAAGGACACTCCCGGCACGGCTCCTCCGAAGCGAAAACGAAGGTCGCGGAGGCTGCTGAGGGCCCCAAGAAAGAAGAAACCGCCGCGGAGGGAAAACCGAAGAAGCCGCCTTCCGAAGTGCCAGTGAAAGAAGCAGATGCTCTTAATAAGGCAGGTTGTCCGCATTTGCTCCCGCTGTTCGGTCTTCGTAGGATAGTCCCGTCCCCGTGCCATCCGTGTCGGTGGCACCTTTCAAGGCGCTCCCGGGATGAAAGGATTAGCCAGTGGCTTCACCGTTGCCCGGAGGGACACCCGCGGGATGTCCGTGCATGCCCCCGTCAAGGAGCTGGAGCGAATGACGGGAGCTCACGCCCCCACGCAGCAGCAACTCGGGTCTCAAACATGGTCTTCCTAGCCTCCAACCACGTGAGCTGCTGCCACGCTCCTATCGTGGGACATTGATTGTGTGGCTGTGGTGCTTTTCCTTTGCAGGAGCGCCTAAACAGAGTCAGACTTCCATAACCAGAGCCACTGGGCGAGGGGCCACTCTTGATTAATGTCAAGTTAAAGCAGGGCTCTTCAAACTTGGCCCTTTGATGACTTTTGTGGACTTCAACGCCCAGAATTCCTCAGCCAGGCACGCGTGCCTGGCTGAGGAATTCTGGGCATTGAAGTCCACCAGTCATCAAAGGGCCAAGTTGGAAGACCCCTGAGTTAAAGTAATGACATAACTTTGTGCTTTTGCCAAGCGTGGTTAGACACACAACTAATTTATTTATTTATAAAATTTATTGGCTGCCCGTGTTACCACAGGGTTACTCTGGGTGAAGAGGGAAATTATTATAGATAATAATAATTTATTATTATATGGAACTTCAATTGCTAAGCAATGACAAATTGCTTATGTGTTTCACCACACTTGGCCAAATAAATAAAGTGTGAAGGATGCCCTACTCGGTCCAAAATCTTAAGTAGGGCCAGATCAAATTAGATTAGGTTTGACTGACTTTAAATGGAAAGAAAAATAAAATCTATATTGCCAAAGGGATGGCTTACCGTACGGGAACATATATGTTCAGATAGTCCTTGATTCACAGCCACTCATTTAATGACCACCCAAAGCTAGAACGGCGCTGGAAAAAAACGACCGATGGTCAGTCCTCACCTTTACAACGGTTGCAGGCGTCCCTGCAGTCATGTGGTCAGAATTTGGGTGCTTCGCCACCCGCATATATATTTACAGTGGCTGCAGTCTCCCAGGGTCACGTGACCCCCACTTGCAACCTTCCCAGGGGCTTCCAACAAGCAAAGTGAAGCCTGAGTCACTTAACAACAGTGTGATTCTCTGAATGACCACAGTAAAAAAAAAAAAAGAATAAAATCTTTTTTATTGTGATCATAAGTGGAGGGCTACCTGTATGATTTCCCTCTTTTACTGCATTAGAAATTGCACTTTGATGACAGCTCTCGGAGGGAATAGAATGTGGGTTCATTGTTCACCGCTCTGGGCCAAAGGACCTAATCCATTAAGTGGCTGGATTCAGTTTGGACTCGGGCCGATTCAGTATGTAGGAGGCATCGCTTCATCTTGACAAACCTGTTACTGCCCTCTAAAAGTTACTGTAGATTGTATGAAGTCTTTATGGCAGAGGGCTTCAAAGTTGGCCCTTTTATGACTTGTGGACTTCAACGTGCCTGGCTGAGGAATTCTGGGCGTTAAAGTCCAGAAGTCATAAAAGGGCCAACTTTGAAGCCCTCTGCTTTACGGGAATGTAAATTTATCATTATTGTCTGAGGTTCTTTCAGTAGATTTTTAGAGGATGTGCTTTGTAGATTTTAATCATTGTTGTCCTGCTACTGGGTTCTTTTAAGTTAGCTGTAATCTATAAATCAGCTATATTGTGTTTCACGGTATTTGTATATGAGAGATTAAATGTGAGAAATCATGTAAATTTACTTCAAAAAAATTATTTGCAGTTTTGGAGTAAACCCAGGAGTCTGGGGACTATTCTTCAAATATCTGAATTGCCAGAAGATGGTTTTACAGATCAGGACATTAAGAAAATAGTTCAGCCTTTCGGAAAAGTGAGTGACATCCTAGTCAACCGTTGTAAGCATGAGGTAAGCAACTTCTTAAATTTCTAATGTGTTTAATTTGCTGAAATGCGCGCTTTTTTGCCTTTTTTTTTTTTGCAAAGACACATTTGGGTGGCTTTGTTTGAATGGTTGTATTACCACAGGAAAATTCAAGGTTAAGTTTCTGTTTGTTGCCAGTAGACTGTTCGCTTTCAGGATAAGCAGTGTTATGCAAAATACAAAAAGAGGTAAGAAATAACCAAAACAATTGAAGATAACGGAAGCAAGAATGGTCCTTGCGCTGACGACGTGACCTAGTTGGGTAACTGAAATATCTGCAAGAAAACAGCCAAGCACAGACAGCAGCAAGGACACCATGGTTGTTATTATTTTAGCTGTTTCTTGTTACAGTTTTAATATCTTAGATACTGGTTTTATATTTTCTTTTTTTTTCTTGATCAATAATTCTCACTTTGACTGGTCTTTAATGTTTGTATGCTGCATTTTAATTATTGCTAGTTCTCTCTGTCCTTTGAATCGAAAGCTAGTACGTAACTGAAATAAAATACAGGCAGGATCTTAAATTAAAAAAAACCTTTGTTTTCTTAGGCTTATCTTGAAATGAACTACAAGGAAGCAGTCATAGCAGCTGTCAAATTCAACGAAACGTCTCCCGTCCTTATTAATGGCAAGCACGTGAAGATAAGTGTTGCAGAAAAACCCAAAGTGGCTTCTACTCAGGTAAGCAGAGAGAGAGAGATCTGTTGTGGCAAGAGAAGTTGTAAAATGGGGTGGGGGGACTCACCTGTCTTGCTTAACAATAGAAATGTTGGGCTCAGTTGGGTTTGTAAGCCGAGGACTGTGTGTATAGAGCAGGGGTGGGCAAACCTTTACAACCTGTGGACTTCCAACTCCCAGAATTCCTGAGCCAGCGTGAAAGTCCACAGGTTGTAAAGGGGCCACCGTTGCCTACACCTGGTGTAGAGAGAGATACTTTGGTTTAGCTGTCAAAAACCCAAGAGTTGGTTTTTGAATAGGTGAGATACTTTGTGTGTGTGTGTGTTTGGCAAAAATCAAGGGACACCTTCTCAAAACACTACTTTATTAAATACAAAACAAGGAGCCACATTTTTTTGCAGAGCCTAAACGTCCCTTTTAATTTTCAGAGCAAAGGAAACGAGAAGAAAGTCGCGCAGAATGTCAAGGATCCTGCCCTGAATAATAAGTAAGACAATGAGCTACTCCGGACTCCCAAATGCTCCCGGGCGACTTGTGGACGGATGGGCTCCATCCCGGAGGGTGGATGGAAATGAATCCCAACTGTTATTTTCTTCTTTTTAGGAAAGAGCCGGTTGCATCTACGGTAAAGATGAAGAGTAAAGACACCCTAGTCTCTGCCGCCTGTGAGTTTTTTCATTTTTTAAGCTATTCTCTTCTATGTGCCTGTGTGTTTTCCTGAATCTTCAACCCCAAGTATCGTGATATTTTCTTAAACCCCAACCAGGCAGTTTGGTGACGAGGGGCTGCTTGGAAAGGGGCTGAAACAAAAGGGGGGCTGCGCAGAGATCGTTAGGAACCGAGATGTGTTTGGATATTAGGAGCTTGGCATGATAAGTTGGGCTGTTGATTTGATCTCCGAGCTTGGCGATGTGGCTTCATTTGGGGGAGCAACCTCTTCACTGAAGAGGGGACACACACACACACACACACACACACACACACACATTGGAATGGAGCTGAAATGTTTGCAGCCACATCGCCAAGCTCGGAGATCAGACCAGCAGCCCAGTTGTTAGGAACTGTCCCTGGGGAGAGCGATCCTGCAGAGTGGTGATTCATACAATTAGTGCTAGAGGATAAGACTTTTGGGATCAATACAAAGTGGCCAACGATTGCAGAAGGGGTTCATTTTGCTGATGTTTGATTATTTGTAGTTGGTAATAAAATCATAGATTGATAAGACTGGGAGGGACCTTGGAGGTCTTCTAGTCCAGTGGTTCTTAACCTGGGCGATATCGCCCCCCAGGGAACGATTTCGTTTTTCAGGGGGGCGAAGGAACGAAAAGGGGGCAATATGGGGGCAATATGGGGGCGATGGAGCGAGAAGTTTTGGGGACACTTTTGAGACTTTTTCGTACAGTGAATCGCTGTATATCTGTCGTACAAAAACATCAGATCACTTGCTATTAGCGGATTGAATTGTGTTTTCAAATGTTCCTCCAGCTAGCTTCAGTACAGAAAGCCGTACATATGTGAAGATGCATCGCTTATCTTCATGCGCATTGCGCAGCAGCCTCTACCCCATACAGTGGCTCGCCATTAGCCAGAATATGGGAAAAAGACTGGAAATAAATTATTTGCATCGATATGTCCTGATGACAATTTTAAAGAAAACAAAAAAAGGGTTTGCATAAATTGAAGAATTATTTCCTATGTTGTGATTGAGAGGTTATGTTGGGGGAGGGGGGTGATGACAACTTCCTCATTGGCTCAAGGGGCGATTCGTTCAAAAAGGTTAAAAACCACTGTTCTAGTCCAACTTCCAGCCCAAGGGAGGAGATCCTAGACCAGGGGCAGGCAACCTTGGCTCTTTTATGACTGGTGGACTTCAACTCCCAGAATTCCTGAGCCAGCCATGCTCAGGGAAAAGGGAGAGGTTTCCAAGCTGAGCCATGCTGGCTCAGGAATTCTGGGAGTTGAAGTCCACGAGTCATAAAAGAGCCAAGGTTGCCTACCCCTGCCCTATACCATTCTGGACAAATGGCTGTCCAGTCTCTTCTCTAAAATCTTCAGCGATGGAGCACCCACAACTCCAGGAGGCAAGCTGCTTCACTGATTAATCGTTCTCATTGTCAGGAAATTCCTCCTTACTACTTCCAGCTTGCATCTCCCTCTGACTGGCATGTTAACGTTTTTAGGGTGGATATTTTCATCTTTAATCTGCCCAGGCATCCCATCGGTAGATTTCATGCAATCTTTCTTCAAACATGGCAACTTGGTAAGCCGCCTGGACTTTCAGTTCCCAGAATCCTCCAGCCTACGCATCTTAAAAAGTTGCCGTGTTTGAAAAACAACGATTGCGTGGCGTGTTCCCAGGAATCTGTGTCACCCTAACAGCCGGTGCTTTTATCTGACCACAGCAAAAACCGATACGAAGAAACCTGGGAAAGTTGTAAAGAGCGGGGAGCCCAAGGCCGCCGTGAAACCCAAGAAAACGACAGAGGCCAAGAAACCCACCGCAGCAGCCGTAAAACAAAACAACACCACAGAGGCCGCACCCTCGGAAGAGGGGAAAATCCCCCCCAAGGCGAAAAAGGTGGCGGAGCCGGCCAAACCGGTCGACCCCAAGGCCAAAGAGCCTCTGAAGACCAAGAAGCTCGCAGACCCCAAGGACAAAGAAGGGGGCCCGAAGAGCAAGGACAAAGAAGGGGGCCCGAAGGGCAAGGACAAAGAAGGGGGGCCAAAGAGCAAGGACAAAGAGGGGGGGCCAAAGAGCAAGGACAAAGAGGGGGGGCCAAAGAGCAAGGACAAAGAGGGGGGGCTGAAGGGCAAGAAAACGGGAGAATCCAAAGCGAAAGAACCCGTCAAGGCCAAGAAGGGCACGGATCCCAAGGCCAAGGAATCCCTGAAGGCCAAGAAGGTGCTAGAAAACAAGAAGGCCAGCGAGCCCCCCAAGGCCAAGAAGGCTGCAGAGCCCAAGAAAGGGGGGGACTCAAAGGACGCCAAAGAACCAGTGAAGGTGAAGAAAGTAGCAGAGTCCAAGGAGTCTCCGAAGGAGCCGAACGCTGGCGAGAGCAGCCAAGCCGCCGGAGAATCTCAGGCCAAGGAGCCCAGCAAGCCAGCGGAAGCCCCAGGTATCCTTTCCTCCACTGTGGGCAGATGCCAGCTGCAACTTCCCAGTTCTCTTAGGGTGCTTCCCAGCTGGTCCCTAAGGTTGTCTCTGTAGCCCCCTCAAGGTGGGCACGACTGGGACCCCTCTCCCTTGACGGGAGGGGCAAGGTGGGCAGCAGTGGGCGCCAAGACGCCAGTCCCTGCGGGAAGAGATGCGGTTGGCAGGTGTGGGACACCGTTCCACGGGAACGGTGGATAGGGTGGTAGCGGGGTGTGTGGGCAGGCAAGTCATTTTCTGTGGGAGTGGGAGAGAGGGGCATCTGTGAACGTGGTTTTCTTCCTTGGCAATTTGGAAGGTGCGTGGACTTCCAGCTCCCAGACTTTCCTAGCCGGCAGTTGTGGGAATTGAAGTCCATCCATGTTAAAAGGGTGTGAAGGTGAACAAACACAAGTCTGTAGAGCTGCGTTTCTGAACATCGGGCACTTTTAAGATACGTGGACTTCAGCTCCCAGAATTCCCCAGCCAGCCATGCTGGCTGGGGAATTCTGGGAGTTGAAGTCCACACGCCTTCAAATTGCTACGGTTGAGCAAAACAACAACAACACAGCTATAGAATGGGCACAATATACAATATGAGTTCCTGCTCCCCCGAGGAATCTTGATAGCTCTCCCGAGTAACTCTTCAACCAGTAAGGATTGTTTAATTTTTTTTTTAAAAAAAAATTCTTTAAAAAAAATAAATTGCAGATAAGTCAGAAGCGGTGGAGAGTCCTGAAGTGGTGGAATCTGCCGTCAAGGTAACTTTCTCTCCTCCTTCTTCAGAGCGGTTGGAAAGTCCCACCGCTGGGTGGGTCCTCGGGGTGGGAAGCGGGAAACGGCAGGGGAATGTTAAACCTGCCCAATAAAGATTCCGATTCGCCGTTTCCGTTTCCCCAGGATGCAGAAGAGATGTGTGTCGTGATGATCTCCAGTTTCCCCGAGGCCGGGCTGAGTCTGGAGGAGATCCGAAACTTAACCAAGCCCTTTGGGAAAGTGAAAGATATTTTAATTGTGTCTTCGCATAAGAAGGTACTGAACAATCTGTTACAGGGTGTTAGAAGAGCCGGGGGGGGGGGGAAATATATTTGATTCGTTCGTTCATTCTTTATTAATTAATGATTGGGAATGATGCATTTTTCCACCCAGTGCCAACATTTGGAACTAAGAAATCATTTGGGTTCCGGTCATTGATAACAGTTTCTTACTGTTATTTTATTTTATTTTATTTAAAAAAGGCATACATAGAAATGAGTCGCAAATCTGCAGATTCCATGGTGAAGTTTTATACCTGCTTCCCAATGTGGGTGGAAAGGAACCAGCTTTGCATTTCTCTGGTCCCTGAGCTGAAGGATCTAAATGAGGTCAGTGAAATTTTATTTATTACATTTATTTGCCGGCCATCTTGCCCCAAGGCAACTGTTCTTAAACGTTTGTTAAAGAATAAATTTTTTAAAAAAGTGGCTAATAATTTACATCAGGGGTAGGCAACCTTGGCTCTTTTATGACTCGTGGACTTCAACTCCCAGAATTCCTGAGCCAGCAGGGCTGGCTCAGGAATTCTGGGAGTTGAAGTCCACGAGTCATAAAAGAGCCAAGGTTGCCTACCCCTGCTTTACATCAATAAAATTACTAGGTTGGGGAAGGCAGAACTAGAAGTTTCTTTGTTACCCAGCTCCCTCCCTGCTCCTAAATAGCTAGCTAGGCGTAGTGAATTGCAACAACTGAAGAGGACAGAATTGTTTGGTGGCTCCTGATCGTCCAGGAACACTTCTTGGCTTCTTTCGTCAATTGTACATTGTGGTTATACTCTTGGGGAGTAGACTATGTCACAGGAAAATGGGAAAGTGAGTGAGAGGGACTTACGACCTCGACTTACGACCGGTTTAGTCCTTGACTTACGACCGGTTTAGTCCTCGGCTTATGACCGGTTTAGTCCTCGATTTACGACCAGTTGGGGTCGCGGCATTAAAAAGGTTGAGAACCACTGTTCTACAGGGAGGGAGCCACCACGGACAAGGCCCTTCTTGGGGGACTTGGAACATCCCCTGCCTCCCCACTCTGGTGGGTCAGGTGGATGGAACTGGGAAAAGATGGTCCTTCAAAGAACCTAGTCCCAGGTCAAGTAGGGCTTTGAAGGTGACAGCCAGCACCCTGAATTGGACCCGGGAGTTGACAAATTAAGAAGATTGCCAGCAGAAGATGGGTGATTAAGGGAGACTTTGTAAATTGATAAACACCATTTTCTAATTGCCTAAATTTTCTTGGCCCTTTCTTTTTAGGAACTGATATTTACTGCGATGATTAAAGATGCCAATCCAGACGTAAGTAACCAGAATTGTCCCTTAATATGTTGTTACTCAGTCTGGGCCCTTGGGGTAGAGAAAGGGGTTACAAAAATAGCAAAACAGATTTTTTTTTGGGGGGGGGACTGTGAAATAGCCCGTCTCCTGTGAAGAATGGATGTGTCTGGAAAGCATTGATTAAAAACGTAATTGTCCAAGAACGCTGCATGTTGAGGATACAGGCAGCAGGAAACTAGCATCCCGATTTAAGGTGGACAGTGTAGTGTAGAGTGTCTTCGGCCTTAGTACCACTTCATAAGTAATTGTGTGATGACAACCAAGGTGTTCAAACCAGTCAGTCCAAGAGGAGATCAACCCCAACTGCTCTTGAGAAGGCCAGATCCTGAAGTTGAAACTCAAGTCCTTTGGCCACCTAATGAGAAGGAAGGACTCCCTGGAGAAGAGCCTGATGCTGGGAAAGATGGAGGGCAAGAGAAGAAGGGGGCGACAGAGAAGGAGGTGGCTGGATGGAGTCACTGAAGCAGTAGGCATGAGCTTCAATGGACTCCAGAAGATGGAAGAGGACAGGAAGGCCTGGAGGAACGTGGTCCATGGGGTTGCCATGGGTCAGACACGACTTCGCAACTAACAACAACAAAAAACCACAATAACGGCTTTAATCATGGAAAAGAGTTGGGAGAAGAGGCAGATTCCCCTTGAGCCCTGTGCTTCCAAGGAAGAAGGCGCAAAATAGGTTGGGCTTGTGGTTAAACTGAGGAGGAGTCTTCCAAAGGATCCGTTGACTCGAATTAAGGACCCCCGGCCCACTTTTGTGTGCTTGCCTTTCCTTTCCACCAGGTGAACACGGAGTCGCTCTACACCCAGTTTGTGCATCTGGGGAACCTGCCAGACGACGGCTACTCCGAGCTTGAAATCCTTTGCGTCGGCCTCCGCTTCGGACGAGTGGATCACTACATGGTGATCACTAATAAGAACAAGGTGATCTTTGCTTTCTACGAAGCGGGAGCCCCCAACGTCTGTGGGAGAAAGGAGGGCAGAGCCTGGGAGCGGAGTGAAGAAGGGGCCTCAGCCTAGGATCCCCACGTAGCCAGCCCTAACCCTTCCGTTCCGTTGGTCCATATCTAACTCCAAGCAGGGGCCAGCCCTGAGTTGGGAAGATTCCCGTGCCTGGGCTCCTAGCAATAAACAGGCGTGGGCCTGCTCTTTTGTGCCTGACCACACCAGAGGTGGTAGCCCTTAAAGGATAGCCATAACTTGACAAATCGCTAGAGGTAGTCCTCAGCAGGGGACTTAGCCCGTTGCTAAGCCAGACAGTTATGATAAGTGAGTTTCGTCCCATTTTACGACCTTTCTTGCAGTTGTTAAGTGGATCACTGCAGTGGTTAGTGACCGGTTGTTGACTTTGCGTGTCAGAAGGTCGCAAAAGGGGATCACCTGGCCCTGGGCCACTGCAAGCCTCATAAATACAAGTGTCCAAATTTTGCTGCAACAGTCATAAGTGTGAAAAAGGGCCCCGAGTCCCTTTTTGTCAGTGTTGTTACAACTTCCAACGGTCACTAAATGAACGGTTGTGAGATGATGATGATAATAATAATAATAATAATAATAATAATAATAATAATAATAATAATAATATCATCATCATCATCATCATCATCATCATCATCCCAGGTCCTTGGTAAGGATTCGATAGGTAGACAAAATGCCAAATTCAGTCTGAACATCTGGCTGACTGTGCGATGATCCACAATAATAATAATAATAAAAAAGTTGGAAGGGACCTTGGAGGTCATCTAGGCCAAACCCCTGCTCAGGCAGGAAACCCTATACCATTTCAGACAAATGGCTGTCCAGTCTCTTCTTAAAAACTTCCAGTGTTGGAGCATTCACTGCTTCTGGAGGCAGGTGGTTCCACTGGTTAATTGTTCTCACTGTCAGGAAGTTTCTCCTTAGTTCCAGGTTGCTTCTCTCCTTGGTCAGTTTCCATCCCTTGCTTCTTGTCCTACCTTCAGGCGCTTTGGAGAATAGGTGGACCCCCTCAGATTCCCACAAAGTCTTCCTTTCAAGGGGCTGGTGGGAAGGCAGCTGCCCCCTTCCAGGTTCCCCTTGAAGAAACGCCGCTTCTGCCACAAGCCCAGAGGCTCCCGTGTTGATTTTCTGCCCTTTGTGAATTTTGAAGGCGGTTCTCCAGCTGAACAGCGCTGAGTCAGCAGCCTCCATGTGCCGCTTCTTAAGGAGGTATCCCTACAGTTTGGGAGAAGTCCAGCTGACGATCTCACGCTCGCCCAGAATAGAACCTGCAGCTGTAAGTCCTCTTCATTTATTTGGCCTCTTGAGTTTTGAATTAGTTTGCAGCCCTTACAATATCCAGGATGGTTCTGAATACTGAGGATGCTTGTGATTTTTAATGACAACCTGTTGGCGTACAAGAGCTAAGGGTTTTTTGTTGTTGTTGTTGTTGTTGCCAGGTGAAGGATGATTGAGAAACAGCTGTCTGGAAATTCACCCTCTGAGCAGGGCTGCAAATTAGGGTAGAAGGGAGTGTAGCCTGCAGAATTTATAACCAGGACTTGTAAAAACTTAACAATGATTTTCCAGCTTTTGCGTTTAGGCCACGGGTGTCAAACTGCCGGATGCGTCATGCCGTAACCGTGCCCACTCCCATTGCCGGCAGTGGGGAAAAAGCCGCGACACGTCACGTGACGTTGCGGGTTTGACACCCCTGGTGTAGGTTTAGGCAGTCACATTGTGATATTGTTTCTTGCATATCAAAAAGCTGAACTTTTTTTAACAGGCCGATGCTGTAAGAAAAGAAGTGAAAAAGCAAGAAGCAAGCCAAGAGAGGTATTTTTTTCATTGATATCCCAAGTGGGTGTGTGTGTGTGTGTGTGTGTGAGAGAGAGAGAGGGGGGGATAGGTGTGGGGATGGGATGCAAGAGATTGAAATACGAAACAAACATAATTCTCATTTTCCCCTTTTGTGCGAAGCCTTGACTTCTGGCTTTTTAGAACCGATCCCTGCCACTTCCCTCATTCCTTTCCCCCATTCTGGACCTGGCATGAAACCACAGCAGTTGAAAGAATAAATGGGTTTTTGAATGCATGCATGCATGCATGTAGATCCGTCCATCGGTCTCAGTTGTCTTTTATTCCTGGGACACACAGGAGCCCCGAGGAGTGACACCAGCACCTATAATCGTTGCGGGTATCCGACCTGTATTTTTGAGGGCCAGTGCTTTTTAAATCCTGGTGCCTTTTCACACCTTCTGTTAACGTGGTTCATTTTTCTGAGTTGGTTGGCTTGGGACCTGGGATATGTGACCCAGGAGGTCACAGCCTCTAAAATGTGCAAACAAAGTGCTAAATTACGTTCTGGGGTTGAAACAGGACAAACCACGGAGAGGCAACACAAAATTCAAATGGCTGTATTGGGACTTCATTTACATATTTATAAATAGACCAGTAAAGGAGCAAAGATATTTTAATGCACGATGAAGGGATATTTTCCTTTCAAAACGGCCTTTGTAACCCCAAACCCATCTCTTCCCTAGCTGACTCTAGACACATGAATATAATTTACCTATCTATCTATCTATCTATCTATATATATATATATTGTAGATACACCTTTAAAATAAATGTACTTTAGGCAACCAGAACCTTTGGAAACGATATCCGTGGTGTTCGCTAACTATATAATGATGTAGACCTGGAGCAGGCTTTGTGTATTTTATTTCATTTTATTGCAACTAATAAAATACTGTTTTTAGAGTACTTACTTATACACATCCAGCCTCTTGAGTTGTTGGTGGTCTCTGCACGTTGCCTATGGAGAAGACTGGCATGGGCACGGTGGTCTCTTCCCATCAGAAAACGTTTGAATTTCTGGGTGAAACGGGGGGCACTCCAGGGTGACTCTTCATAAACAGCTCCGTGTTTTATTTTGTCTTTTTCTACCTGTCCTGTCAAAGGGAGGGAGCAGTGCGGCTGTTAGATGCTCCAAGGTGTTACTTTCTAAATTATTTTTTTCAGACATTTCATTTTAAAATGGAAGAAACTCTGTGTTAACTTATAAAGCAGGGGTGTCCAGCCGTAGCCACTTGAAGACCTGGCTGGGGAATTCTGGGAGTTGAAGTCCACAGGTCTTCAAGTGGCCAAAGGTGGACATCCTGTTATAAATGGTGCTTCTTATACTGATAGAGATGAAAGCAAGAAAACTTCCCAAGCTACAAGAAACGCAGAAAGAAAGCTCATTTTTCTTGTGCCTCGTTCTTATCAATAGTATTTGGGGAAACCATATTTATATCTTTGCAGCTGATCAGGCAGGCTTGATGAAACTTTTCCAGCATTTGCCGGCCGTTAACGACAGGTGATGCAAACGTGAGCAGACCCTCTTCTCAATGAGAGGACCTGGCAGCTGTCCTGAATATTTTGTTCTGTTCCATCTCTCTCTCTCTCTCTTCTCTCTCTCTCTCTCTCTCTCTCTCTCTCTCTCTCTCTCTCTCTCTCTCAACTTTTCCCCTCCCCCCCCTCTTCCAAAAGAAAGCAGATCAAAATGGCCGAACAGTAGCTGAATTTCAAGTGGAGAAAAAAGAACGAGTGCTCCATCACTGGAGGCTTTTAAGAAGAGACTGGACTGCCACCTGTCTGAAACGGTCTAGGCTCTCCTGCCTGAGCAGGGGGCTGGACTAGAAGACCTCCAAGGTCCCTCCCAGCTCCGTTACTCTGTTAAGTTGGATGCTGTCCTTTGACTTCCAAACTGGATTGTCCTTTTCGTTCAGTTCCTCAATAGTGTCTGAACCCGACTGCGGAATAAGCTCTTTTAACGCTGCCTGAAATCAAGAGGACTTGTCACGTTTCTGCAGCTTTATTTTTATTTCCCGATTTTTCCATATTTCTCCCAACACGTTACCTTTTTTTCTCGCTTACGAATCCTTGTTTTGTTGTCCTCCGTTATATCAAAAGCTTTTGGATTTCTGAGGCATCCAGACTACCAAGGGTTTTTTTTTCCTCCCCCTCGTCTTAAAATAGCATTCTTCTGCTCCCAAGTGAATTAAGTCCAATTCCCGTATTCCTCGAAAGCTATTTGAAATATTTTTGGTAGGTTGCCTATGAGTAATAACCCTCTTTGATTAAGGAGATGATTGAATGGGCTGTGAACAAACTTCTTCATCCTTTTTCCAGCAGGAAAAGAAATTCAGTGTAATTTATTTTGATTGATGAAAAGCAAAAAAAGGGAAGGGGATTTTACACTCATCTTGAAAAATCTTTTGTTTAGAAACCTTATTTATAGTTAACACTGTCTTACAGCCCCTTTCCACCTGTACAGTTACCTAAGATATTTGGGAAAGATATATCTCAGGATTGAATGCTATGCCTCTAGAAGATCGATACCATTGAATGGAGGAGCTCAGCTCAAAAGTCCCAGCCTAAGCCTAAAGAGGTTTTTGATTTAATCTTGAGTAAGTTTGTTCGGAATGGGGTCAGTCTGATTTCTGCTCTTCATTCCATCCTTCTGTTTTTCATCGTTTCTTCTTCTTTTCTGGCTGTTGGAAAAGCCAGTCCTCATTTGAAAGACCCCAGTTTCTCAGCCTCTGTCAACGACAAAATCTTGATCTTCTAAAATTGGGCCTGCTTTGCAGGGCTCTGCCCACTATCATTTTATTTTATTTTTTTTGGGCAGAAGATTATGACAACTTTTCCCGTGTCGACAAAGGCCTGGAAAGTTTGCAATTAGTACATTCCTATTTCTCTTACTGATTCTGAGGACAACTTGAGTCCCCCCCCCACAATTGCCTGCTATTCTGTTGCTTTGTGTTCCTTGTGTCGGCCCTACGAATGACAATTCCTGTCCATGATCCAGTTTTGGTGGTCCTGTCATCATCCGTTGTAGTGATATTGAAACTCCAGCCCCCTTTTCTAAATAATCCAAGCTGGATTTAAAGACCCTATCCTTGAAATCGTAGATAATGCCATATGATTGTCCCAAAGGGGAGGGGGAAGGAGGGAGGGAAATGGAAGATCTCCTTATAGATTTCCAGAAGGCATTTGTTTGGCTGAAAACAGTTGGAAAACGAATAAACAAGATGTACTCTCAGCCCAGAGCTGTTGAAACTGCTTACGTTTTTGAAAAATTCCCTGTGTAAATTCCTGTGTGTACTTTGTCTTGTCATTCAGATTTCCTTGGGAGCTGTTAGTCACGTGGAACAAACTCAAGCACAGCCTTTTTGCATGTGGATATTTCCATTCCCCGTGGAAGTGTCCTGGCTCATTTTGGTTCCTTCGGGACAAAACTATTAATATTTCTGTTTTCAGTTTAAATAACTCACTCACAACCTCAGCACAAGTTCTCTGTGTGTTTGTATGTTTTTTTTCCCCCCCACCTGCCAAGTTCTCATCTTCAGCATTTCCATAGTGAGCTTCAAAGAACCCCTTAAGTTGCCTGCCACAATGGTAGGTAACTTAGAAAGGAGCGTTTCACCCAGGCTTACACCGAGGGTAGTAGACAAGTTAAGACCTCCCCACCCTAAGCCATCCTGCTTCAGGAGATCCCGGCCCTTTGGCCCCGAGAGGTAATTAATAACTGTGGCGTTCTCAACCTAGCTTGATCTCTTCTGTTTTTTTAAATACATTTAGCCCTGACTTGAAAACAATTCCCGAAGGATCAGGAGTGGTGCACCCATCGGCCGTTCCTCCCACGGAGGCCACGGAAGACCGCGGCTCTGACTCAGAGGCTATTCCAGATACAGAGACGGAGCACCTGGATAGCCAGAAGGCGGTAGGGGCAGGAGCTCCCCAGCCCCTGAAGACCGAAGACTCGGCAGAAGACTCGAAAGCGTTAAAGGAAGAGTTTGGGCTCGGGATTCCGAGCGCCGGCGAGGATTTGGAGTCGTCGGAAAGGCAAGCTGAAGACACCCGTGCTTTGACCTCCGCTGTGAAAAAGGAAGAAAAAGGGACTGATCACTCTGACCAGGAATTGCCGAGAAAGGCCTCTCCCTCGGATGGAGAGAAGGCAAAGGAGGAAACAGCTCCTCTTCCTGGGAAAGCGGAAGAAGCGCCCGCTGCCTCGAAAGAAGGAGCCCCCAGAGCCCTCTCTGCCTCAGCCGCGGAAGAAGGCACAAGTACAAACCTGGGGCCGGGCCCTACAGAAGCCGCCCTGGAGGAAACGCCAAGCGCAGAGACGCTGTCCAAGGACAGGCCCACGTCTCCAGAAGCAGATCGTACTGAAGCCGCCGTGGGGCCGGCAGAAACGCCAGCCCCCAAGGTTCAAGGGAAGACGGAGGAAGAGTCGGGGGGCCTCCCTGCCGCCTCTCGGGCGAAGGTGGAGGTAGCAGCCAAGCCGGCGGGGGCGGAAACGAAGGAAAACCTAAAGGAAAAGTTTCAGCTGCAGTTGGCCAGGGTTGAAGTAAGCCTGGAGAAGCTCCCCGAAAACCTGCTGTTGAGCGCCGAAGAAGTCAGACAACCAGAAGAGACCCCAGGAGAGAGCGCCAAGGTGCAGCATCCTGAGCACGTTGTGCCAAAGACACCGCAGGGTAAAGGGCCGGGACAAACCGAAGCCCAGGAATCTGGCAAAGCGAGCACGCCGGAGGCAGAGACGGCAGCCAACCCGGAGGCCGGCAAAACGGCCCCGAAGGCTTCGAACCCACCCAAGGCGTCGAGACTTCCGGCTCGAAGGAAAGAGGAGAAGCCGGCCGGCAAGCCGGTCCCCAAGAGCCAAGGGCCGGCTGAGAAGACGCCGTCGCCGAAACAGCCGATTCAGCAAAGGCCCGCGAACGTTCGGTCCGGCGTCGGCCCAGATAGCGCCAAATCTAAGCTAAGCACGAGTTCGGTGGTGGTGGTTGCGTTAGGCCCTGGGAAGAGCTCCTCGCAGCAAGAGAAGGACCCCCCGGCGGAGACCAAGGGGAGTCCGAAGCAGAGCCGGGAGCCAGAAAGTAGATCCTCCACCCTCAAGCGGGATGCCGGCGGCAATAAGGTGAGGAGGGGATAAAGCACTGGCTGGCCCCTAACCTTGACGCTTCTTCCAGACCTTGAGCGAGTCCCCGTCCCCTCCCTGCCCCTGTACGCGGCTGCGTCCGGTAGCGCCATGCACGCCGTGCCGGCGGGGAGGTGCGTTTGGAAACGCTTGACTCTGGACTCGTTTGGCGGAAGGGAGGAAAGAGCCGGCTCTTCGCAGTGCAGTTTCCGAGCGGACACGCGGTGTGTGTGTTTGTTCCTGCCTTCCTTCCTTCCACGGCGGTTCCTGAGATTCCCCTGTTTGCGAGGTGCGGCTTCTCGTGAGGCATCCCGACTGCTTCGCGTAGACTCGACCATCCCGGAGTCAGATAAGTTACCCATAAAAGCCGTTGGAGCGCTGAGTCCTCGGGTCTTAGAAACGATTGGCCTGGTTTCAACTTGTGGCGTGTAAAAGAATACCGCTTTCTCTGAGCTGCTGGTGAATTGTGCCCGCAAGGCCACACGGCCTTAATCGCTCACCATCTTTTCAATTTCTCCTCCCCAGGTGTCTGCTGGGAGAAATACCAGAGCCTCGAAAAGCACTCCCAAACCCAAAGAGGTAAGCAAGCCAATGAACACGGGTCCTGTAACCCAGGGTATCGATAACATGGGAATGACTTTAGGGCCGGGGAATCCAAACTTGAAGATGGTGGGCTGGAATTCCCCAGCTATCTTTTTAAAGGAGTTACTGACTATATGCCTAAACCAGGGGTCTTCAAACTTGGCCCTTTGATGACTGGTGGACTTCAACTCCCAGAATTCCTCAGTCGAATTCTGGGAGTTGAAGTCCACAAGTTACAAAAGGGCCAAGTTTGAAGACCCCTGATACAGACTTTAAGAGGAGTGGACTTCAACTCCCAGAATTCCTCAGCCAGCGTGCCTGGCTGAGGAATTCTGGGAGTTGAAGTCCACAAGTCATCAAAGGGCCAAGTTGGAAGACCCCTGCCCTAAACTTCCCAAAACTGAGTCCAAATTATTAACTCGGCGATTAATAATTAAGGATCCCCTACTCTTTTAACTTCACTGTTAGCGACTTCTAGGGAAAACATTTTTCCTGAGATGTGAATTGTGACAGTTGGGTGGAAGTGACTTGCCCAGAACTGTGCATATCCTACTCCGGAGTTGTTTTTTAGCAATTAATTTTTGGGAGAGGGGAGCCTGCAAGTCAGTCTTGACTCCTGCCGTTTTCTGGCCCAGGTTTTTTTTCCAAGCGGTTTGCCATTTCCTCCTTCCTAGGGCTGAGCGAGAGGGACTGGCCCAAGGTCCCCCAGTTGGTGTCACACCCAAGGCAGAACTTGGATCTCCCTGTTTTGAGCCGTGACCCCTTAACTTGGCTCTTGACTATTAAAATGTGGACACAAATGTCATAAATGAATAGTGAGAGAAACAGACTCGGAAAATGACAAGCAAGCGGCTTATATGCCTCTTTGAACCTGTGAAAGATCTCCTTCGTTCCAGATCGCCTTGGAAAGCCAGGGTGGGCAAAGTGTGGCAACTTCACCTCCTGTGGAATTCTGGGAGTTGAAGTCCACAGGTAGTAAAGTTGTCATAGTTGCCTACGCCTGTCCTAAAGCATCCCCTGTGTTTCCATCATACTTCCTTTTTCCTTTGTCTTTACTTTTAATATCTACCACAATCAGGTGTGTGTGTCTACGTCGTTTACAAATATCGAATGGTGTAAAACTCTGGCTTTCCCACCCCCCCTTTTTTCTCTCCTTTTTTTAGGAGGAGGAGCTTTTCCCATTTAATTTGGACGAGTTTGTTACCATGGACGAAGTTGTCGATGAAGTGGAGTCTCCCCAGCCTCGGAGGAACCCCGTAAGGGGCAAAAGGAAGGACCCGCCGAAGAAGAGCCTTCCCGGTGAGCCAAGCTCCAAGAGAAAGAAAGCCAAGGCGGTGGCGGCGGCCGAGGCCGAGACCGAGGTCTCCTTCGTGACCTTGGATGAAATCGGAGAAGACGAAGGCGGGATGGGCCAGGTGGAGCTGCTGAACCTGGAAGCCATGACCGACGACCAGGGTCTGGTCACGGTGGACGAAGTCAACGAAGAGGAGGAGCTGATCGACGAGGATATGAAAGACCCCCAGTCGCTGGTGACCCTGGACGAGATCTCCGAGCAAGAGGACGTTGCTCCGCAGGAGATGCCCAAGGAACCTTTCGCCTCCGGGGAGAGCGAGCCGGACTTGAAAACGGAGCCTTTGTTGACGGTGGACGAGGTCGGAGAAGTGGAAGAGCTTCCCCTGAACGAGCCTTCCCACTTCAAGGACGAGGAGATGCTCAAATGCCAGGAAGAGGGGAAGGCCGAGGCAGAGCCCGCTGGGGATTTTCTCTCCTCCCAGATCCCAGAGGACCCCAGCGCTTTAGTCACGGTGGACGAGATTCACGAGGACAGCGACGACCAGCCCTTGGTGACCCTAGACGAGGTGACCGAAGAAGACGAGGACTTCCTGGAAGACTTCAACCGCCTGAAGGAAGAGTTCAGCTTTGTCACCGTGGACGAGGTGGGCAGCGAAGAGGAGGAAGAGGAAGAGAAACCTGGCCCCTCCACCGGCAGGAAATTGAAAGAAGCCACCAAAACCGCACCGGAGGAAGGAGCTGACCGGGACGTCCCGTTTTCTGCCAAATTAGAAAACTTTAAAATTCCGGCCGCCCCCTTGCCGAAGCCAAAGCAGAGCGTTTGCGATGAGCTGCCGGAAGAGGAGACGTCGGTAGAGCCGCCGGAGGATCCTCCAAGTGAGAGCCCCAAAGCAGAAGAGGAGGTAGACCTCGGTAGGGAAAAGGCTGAGCTGGAGTCTAAAGAAGAAGAGGAAGGACGAGGCGTGGAGCAGACAGACCCAGTAGCGGAATCCGATTCAGGTCCGCCGACAGGTAGGAAGGGGATCGGCCCCGATAACGGGCAGCAGCGAACCGCCCGGTGAGCAGAGCGAGAACCTAAACGTGCCCCTTCTCTTGGCAGAGCCGGTTGCGAACCAGAAGGAGCAGTCTTCTAGCAGCAAGAGGAGCGGTTCGCAGGAGGAGCAGCAGTCGCTCGGTAAGGGTGCCTCTTTTCCCAGTGACATCCCCCTGGCCCGCCAGAACGGGGAGGCAGGGGACGTTACGGGTCCCCTCTCTTGAGGAGATCCATCTGGCGGGACCCAGGAGAAGGGCCTTCTCTGTGGTGGCTCCCTCCCTGTTATTTGAAGGACCCTTGTTTCCCAGTTGTATCCCCCTGGCCCACTAGAGCAAGGAGGCAGGGAATGTTATGGGTCCCCTCTCTTGAGGTCCATCTGGCGGGACACAGGAGAAGGGCCTTCTCCGTGGTGGCTCCCTCCCTGTTATTTGAGTGACTTCATTTCCCAGTTGTATCCCCCTGACCCACTAGAGCAAGGAGGCAGAGAATGTCATGGGTCCCCTCTCTTGAGGAGGTCCATCTGGTGGGACCCAGGAGAAGGGCCTTCTCCGTAGTGGCTCCCTCCCTGTTTTTTGAGGGACCCTCATTTCCCAGTTGTATCCCCCTGACCCATTAGAGCAAGGAGGCAGGGGACGTAATGAGTCCCCTCTCTTGAGGAGGTCCATCTGGCGGGACCCAGGAGAAGGGCCTTCTCCGTGGTGGCTCCCTCCCTGTGAACTTCATCCCCGCAGAGATTGGCCTGGCCCCCACTTTTGACACTCTTTCGCAAGGCCCTTGAAGACCGGGTTCTGCCCACCGGTCTGTTGACCCCAGAGTGGGAGGGAGTCCATCAGGTGGCTTGCTTGACGGATTGCTGTCGCCAGCGCAGAGTTTTTTTTTATTGTTTTTATTGTCGTATATGGGGTTTTTTATTTTTTGTTAAGCCGCCCAGAGTCACCGAGAGTGAGTGGGCGGCCACGTGCATTCTCCAAATAAATAAATACATAAATAAATCTGAAGTTGGAGAGAAGCAAGCGAAGGAGAGGCAGGGATTCAGCAGCCACGGCAGTTCAAACAGACAGGTTTATTACCTGCACTCTACCAGAATCCGAAACGTTATTTTTTTATTTATTTAATCCATATCATAAGAATTGTATTAATTCGAATACGAGACGGTAAATATACCAAGGGGAAAAGAGAGGAAACATTTAATGCAATCGTTTACAGATCTGTACTAAAGAGATTTGTATGCTATGGAATTATGTTATGGAATTATGTATGTACGTTGCTTTTCAAATATTTAAATGTAAAACTAGAAAATCAATCAAATTTTCTTTAAAAACACACACACACAAAAGAATCTGAAATGTGACAAATTGGCCGTAGGTAAGATTCAGTGGGATTCAAGTCCAGTGGCCTGGGCTTGGATCACTTGTGGATATGAAGGGACTCGATCCACTTGATCCCTCCCTCGGGCTCAGCCTGGTCATCTGCTACAGGCGGGCGGGCGGGCAGCTACTCCTCAGATACAAGCAATGTATGCAAAGCGTGTGGCACGATGGGCAGCCCAGGGGTCAGTTATACCCTACTTGCTAATCAGAATTTCCCTGTTGCAGATCGGATGGAATCCGAGGGTGAACCGCCGGAACCTAAACAAAGGAAAGTAGAGTCCGCAGAGAAGCCGAAGGTGGCGAGCCAGCTGAAAGGTAGGCCTTGGGACAGCCTGGTCCAGGGGTAGGCCACCTTGGCTCTTTTATGACTGGTGGACTTCAACTCCCAGAATTCCTGAGCCAGCCACGCTGAGGGGAAAGGGAGAGGTTTCCAAGCTGAGCCACGCTGGCTCAGGAATTCTGGGAGTTGAAGTCCACCAGTCATAAAAGAGCCAAGTTTGAAGACCCCTGGTTTAAATATTTAAATATTTTTACTTCACGGTCACGTGATCAAAATTCAGGCATTTGGGCAGGGGTAGGCAACCTTGGCTCTTTTATGACTGGTGGACTTCAACTCCCAGAATTCCTGAGCCAGCACAGCTGGCTCAGGAATTCTGGGAGTTGAAGTCCACCAGTCATAAAAGAGCCAAGGTTGCCTACCCCTGGACTAGTCTGAAAGTCTTCCTTGTGTTCGGCGGAGGTCGCTCGCAGAGAGAATGGTTTCATCTCTGCTCGTCTGTCTTCACCGTACTTTGAATGTCTGAGCTGTCAGGGCAGGTTTTCTGGGTGCCTCCCCCCCCCCACTTCAAAGACCGTAGGCGGTTGGGGTGCTCTAAGACAGCTCCCCCAAACGCCGAGGCCAGGAAGCAGAAATGGAGAGAGAAGGATGCTTTGCCTATTTCTTGGTTTAGGGCAGGGGTAGGCAACCCGAAACCCTCAAAGAGCCACTTGGACCCGTTTCCCACCGAAAACAAAACACTGGGAGCCGCAAAACCCTTTGGATATCTAAAATGAAGATAACGCTGCATATATCCTTTTTTACCTTTATTATAAGGTAGGTAGGTAGGTAGACAGACAGACAGACAGACAGACAGACAGACAGATATAGGTTGTTCGCATATTTCAATCCCACCACTGGAAGGATGGATGGATGGATGGATGGATGGATGGATGGATGGATGGATAGATAGATAGATAGATAGATAGATAGATAGATAGATAGATAGATAGATAGATAGATAGATAGATAGATAGATAGAACTGGTTGTTCACATATTTCAATCCCACCACTGGATAGATAGATAGATAGATAGATAGATAGATAGGTAGGTAGGTAGGTAGGTAGGTAGATAGAGAGAGAGAGAGAGAGAGAGAGAGAGAGAGAGAGAGAGAGAGAGAGAGAGAGAGAGAGAGAGAGAGAGAGATTGACATATAACATAAAGGTAAAAAAAGGATATATGCAGTGTTATCTTCATTTTAGATGTCAAAAGGGTCTCCCTCCCTCTCTCTCCCTCTCTTTCTGCCCTTGGTCTGCCAGTCCTCTTCCCCCACACTCTTTCTTTCTCTCTCTCTGTTTCTCCCCCCTCTTTTTCTCTCTCTCTCTCTCTCTCTTTCCTCTCCCTCTCTCTCTCTTTTCTCTTTCCTCTTTCTCTCTTTCCTCTCCCCCTCTCTCTTTCTCTCCCCCCTCCCTCTCTCCAATCTTCTGCTCACCTGGCAAGCTGGCTTCAAGCTGTTCTCCAGCAAGCTCAGGGGTAGGCAACCTGGGCTCTTTTATGACTCGTGGACTTCAACTCCCAGAATTCCTGAGCCAGCAGAGCTGGGCTAGCTAGCTCTCTCCTGCCCTTCCTGCTTCCTGCAGAGATGCAGCTTAGGCAGGAGCCCCACCCAGTAAGCTTGTCGGCTTGTCGAAGAGGGTGAGGCCACTCTCTTTTTTACACACACATACAAACACACACACACAGAGAGAGAGAGAGAGAGAGAGAGAGAGAGAGAGAGAGAGAGAGAAGGGACGGGAAGGGAAGGGAAGGGAAGGGAAGCGCAAGTGCCTCTCTCTGTCTCTGTCTCTCTCTGCAAATGGCAGAGGAGGCTGCAAGCCGCAGGGGAAGGCTCAAAGAGCCACATGCGGCTCCGGAGCCGCAGGTTGCCGACCTTTGGTTTAGGGAATAACTGTTGGTGATAATTGCCAACAAGAAAAGCTAGGGGGGGGAGGTGAAAACAAGGGTCCAGGCACTTCTTGCGCTGTTGTGATGAGATGGGCAGCCAGCAGACTTAACGAATAAACAGACAAACAAACAGTAGCTGAAAGGATGCACTAAAATGGTCTTTTGTCACACTATAATTTCTTTTTGTCGGTCGCCTTCTAAATCTAGATTTAGATTTCCTGGTCCCCAAAGCGGGCTACTTCTGCCAGATCTGCTCCTGCTTCTGCGTGTTCGAAGAATCCATGAAGAGCCACTGCCTGTCTCAGCTTCACCAGCAGAATATGGAGGTAGCAAAGGGGCCCCAGGGGGGAAACTGAGGCGCAGGGCCACTTCCTCAACCGAGCGTAAACCCCGCGTTCCCTGCAGGGCCGGCTGGGCTCTTGGCCAGTGTCCAGGGGGTCCCTTCCCCAGGATCCNGCTCTCCCGAGATAAAGGGAGAGCCTTTGGGACTCTACTCCTATCCAGGAGTACTCACCTCGACCCCTTCTCCCGGGGCACAAGGTTCCAAGCCGCTGAACAGCTGCTGACCGCTGTTCATGCTGGCTCTGACGCCTTCCCAAGCGGACGGCTCCGAAAAGAGCCGCCATCGGCGCGCCGTCCCACCGGAAGTCCCCATGGGTCCCCTCTCTTGAGGAGGTCCATCTGGTGGGACCCAGGAGAAGGGCCTTCTCCGTAGTGGCTCCCTCCCTGTTTTTTGAGGGACCCTCATTTCCCAGTTGTATCCCCCTGACCCATTAGAGCAAGGAGGCAAGGGGACGTAATGAGTCCCCTCTCTTGAGGAGGTCCATCTGGCGGGACCCAGGAGAAGGGCCTTCTCCGTGGTGGCTCCCTCCCTGTGAACTTCATCCCCGCAGAGATTGGCCTGGCCCCCACTTTTGACACTCTTTCGCAAGGCCCTTGAAGACCGGGTTCTGCCCACCGGTCTGTTGACCCCAGAGTGGGAGGGAGTCCATCAGGTGGCTTGCTTGACGGATTGCTGTCGCCAGCGCAGAGTTTTTTTTTATTGTTTTTATTGTCGTATATGAGGTTTTTTATTTTTTGTTAAGCCGCCCAGAGTCACCGAGAGTGAGTGGGCGGCCACGTGCATTCTCCAAATAAATAAATACATAAATAAATCTGAAGTTGGAGAGAAGCAAGCGAAGGAGAGGCAGGGATTCAGCAGCCACGGCAGTTCAAACAGACAGGTTTATTACCTGCACTCTACCAGAATCCGAAACGTTATTTTTTTATTTATTTAATCCATATCATAAGAATTGTATTAATTCGAATACGAGACGGTAAATATACCAAGGGGAAAAGAGGAAACATTTAATGCAATCGTTTACAGATCTGTACTAAAGAGATTTGTACGTTATGGAATTATGTTATGGAATTATGTATGTACGTTGCTTTTCAAATATTTAAATGTAAAACTAGAAAATCAATCAAATTTTCTTTAAAAACACACACACACAAAAGAATCTGAAATGTGACAAATTGGCCGTAGGTAAGATTCAGTGGGATTCAAGTCCAGTGGCCTGGGCTTGGATCACTTGTGGATATGAAGGGACTCGATCCACTTGATCCCTCCCTCGGGCTCAGCCTGGTCATCTGCTACAGGCGGGCGGGCGGGCAGCTACTCCTCAGATACAAGCAATGTATGCAAAGCGTGTGGCACGACGGGCAGCCCAGGGGTCAGTTATACCCTACTTGCTAATCAGAATTTCCCTGTTGCAGATCGGATGGAATCCGAGGGTGAACCGCCGGAACCTAAACAAAGGAAAGTAGAGTCCGCAGAGAAGCCGAAGGTGGCGAGCCAGCTGAAAGGTAGGCCTTGGGACAGCCTGGTCCAGGGGTAGGCAACCTTGGCTCTTTTATGACTGGTGGACTTCAACTCCCAGAATTCCTGAGCCAGCCATGCTGAGGGGAAAGGGAGAGGTTTCCAAGCTGAGCCATGCTGGCTCAGGAATTCTGGGAGTTGAAGTCCACGAGTCATAAAAGAGCCAAGGTTGCCTACCCCTGGTTTAAATATTTAAATATTTTTACTTCACGGTCACGTGATCAAAATTCAGGCATTTGGGCAGGGGTAGGCAACCATGGCTCTTTTATGACTGGTGGACTTCAACTCCCAGAATTCCTGAGCCAGCCACGCTGAGGGGAAAGGGAGAGGTTTCCAAGCTGAGCCATGCTGGCTCAGGAATTCTGGGAGTTGAAGTCCACGAGTCATAAAGCGGCCTAGTCCTAGTCCAGGGGTAGGCAACCTTGGCTCTTTTATGACTGGTGGACTTCAACTCCCAGAATTCCTGAGCCAGCCATGCTGAGGGGAAAGGGAGAGGTTTCCAAGCTGAGCCATGCTGG